CCCCGCCACCCCTACTCAGAGACTCTCAGTCTGCTCTCTAGCCGTGCTGGTCGCGGTAAAGAGAGAATACTTATAGGGTGACATTAGTCAACATGACCATACAGGTTTCAGGTGTGGGTTTCTATGTTACAAGATCTGTATATTACACTGTGTGCCCACCACCCAAAGGTTCTTTTTTAATAAATATATTTTTATTATTTTTAGAGAGAGAGGACAGCAGTGGGAGGGAGGGAAATAAATATTGATGGGAGAGCAAAATATCAATTGGGATCCAGCCCATAAGACCAGGAATCTCTCTCTCATCATTGATGTTTCTCTCCCTCTCCCTTCCTCTCTGAAATCAATAAAAATATATTAAAAAAAAAAAAAGACCAGGAATCTAACGGGTGACCTCTGGGTGCATGGGCCAACCCTGAGCCACACCGGCCAGGGCAGGACAATGAGGGTCTGACCAGCATCAAATAATCTTAGGAGCAGAGCCTCGGGTCCCTTGGCCACAAAGACAGTGTCAGTCAAACTGGAAATAACAGTTAGGCCTCAGTTGTGCCTCAGCTGCAGGCCCAGAAAAGGGGGAAACCAGAGGAAGTAACACCCTGGCTGACGTCAGGACCAGATGCACTGATCGGTACAGCCTAGCACCGACCCATCAGTGGAGGCCATAATCCTACCACAACCCGGGCTCCCTACTCACCACCACTCATGATTTTTCCTCTACATACCTCATCCCCTGGGACCCAGGCCTTTGAGCATTAGCTCACCTGTGTTTCTCTGGCTGGGCCACTTCCTGAAAATAAACCCTGACTTCCTTTGCCACAAGCTCCTGTTGGTGTCCTACTGGGCTTTGATGCTCACAGGCAAAGGGACCCCTTTTGTCCTGTAACATTTCAGTTGTAAAAGGAGCGACAGACTAAACCTGACGAGCTAAGGAGGGGCCAGCATAGCAGGCCCTACAAACTCAGAAACTGAAAGTAAAATAAAATAAAGTAAAATAAAAAGAGAGACTGAAAGTAACAACACAGAGTGATCTAAACACAAAATTCTTAACTAAAAGCAGGTCATGGTGTAGTTACAGCTTAGGCCTGTAGCTTCCTTGACAAAGGTCAATCTTTATCTTTTTAAAAAGTACTTTTTTTTTTAAATTGATTTCAGAGAGGAAGGAAGAGGGAGGGAGAGAAACATCAGTGATGAGAGAGAATCATTGATTGGCTGCCTCCTGCATGCCCCACACTGGGGATAGAGCCAGCATATGCCTTAACTGGGAATTGAAGCATGACCTCCTGGTTCATAGGTCGTGACCTCCTGGTTCGACACTCAACTACCGAGCCATGCTGGCCGGGCAAAGTCAATCTTGATCTTAAGTGAGACGGTCTATTATTTATTGGCCTCCAAGATAGCATATCTTTGGAATGTCAGAATAATCTTTTTTTCAAGACCCCTCAGAGCACAATGTCCCACCAGGCCGCCAGAGCACAAGACCAATGAGGATCCCCTCATTGTTATTTTCTTGCCCAAATATCATCTCTATGTGCAGTAAATATTTATTGTTAACCATCTTATGCCTGTTGTAGGCGGCTGGAACGGCACTGGGGGTCAGACCTGTGAGGTCAGACTGGGCCTGGGTTTAGCAACCTCAGTGCTAGAGTTCTGGCTAGGAAAGACTTCAGAGCCAAGACCCAAACTACAAGAGAACGTTTATTTGGAAAATCACAGAGGTAGAAGAAATGATTCGTAGAAGAGGTGGGCTTAGGAAACAAGTTATAGGGGCGAAGGAAGGGCCCTTGGAGCTTGAAGTGGGGACGGTAAAGCTGAGGCACCTGGGTGGGGAGGTGAAAGGGAAAGGCCAGGGTGCCCTAATGGTGCCCTTAGGGGAGCTTTTAGGGGAGGTCCCAGGGGAAGATCTGAATAGGATATTCAGCAGCTTTCCAGGTAGTATGTCCTTTCCGGGTCTAGGTCTCCACTGATTGATGGTCATTATCCAATGCAGCTGGTCCTGAGGCAGCCATGGCATTCATTATCTGGTTTTGCTGCTTTTCTGGCCTGGAGCTGAACCACAACGGAGGCCTGGATGTTAACTCTAGGGAGGAAAGGTGGGCGGGGGGGGGGGGGGGGGGGGGGGGGGGGGGGGGGGGGGGGGGGGGGGGGGGGGGGGGGGGGGGGGGGGGGGGGGGGGGGGGGGGGGGGGGGGGGGGGGGGGGGGGGGGGTCCAAACCATGTGACCAGTGATAGGCTAGGGGAGGAAAGGTCACCCTGGGGCAAGGTCCCGCCCTGCAACTGTCCTTTGCTGGGCCCACAAGGCTGTCCGCTCCAGTGACCTCCTTGTACCCAGCCCACCCATCGTCCTTGCTCTGCTCAAGTCTAACTGCGTACCACGCACCCACCAACGTAAAAGAAGCGTGTGTCTCTTAATTTCCCTCCTCATCCAATCCCGGAGAGTTCCTGGCTTTGCTTCCTCCCATCTTGCCACTTTGCCACCAATGGGTTTCGTGTGAGCCTCCTGAGGTCTTATTTGATTCTAAAGCGTAAAATGAGCTGTAGAGCTGCCCTTTTCCAGAGCATATTCTCAGTTGTTAGGATTTTACTTTCCAGCAATTGTTGTCAGTTTGGCTCAAATAAAGTCATAAAAATGCTCTACAAGTGTGGGCAATCTTGTTAAAAAAAACAACAACAAAATTCAACCGAATAAATGTGAAGACCTAATTAGCTTTATTAATTGATTTATGAATCAAGCAGCTCCTCATCCAGCACCTAGAAGAGGGCACTGAGTCAACACTAGGATTATACTAGTAAAGGATGGCCAGTGTATTTTCTGTTAAAATTTACTTTTTTTCTAAGTTCATTTTTCATTAAAATTATTTCTAAAGCCCCACCGGTGTGGCTCAGTGGTTGAGCGTTGACCTATGAACCAGGAGGTCATGGTTCAATTCCCGGTCAGGGCACTTACCCGGGTTGTGGGTTCCATCCCCAATAGGGGGCGTGCAGGAGGCAGCAGATCAATGATTCTCTCTCATCATTGATGTTCCTATCTCTCCCTTTCTCTCTCTCTCTCTAAAATAAAGAAAAACTTAAAGAGTGGATTATTTCAGTGAATGGATGTTCACTACAGCAGAGTCTCATTTAACCGCCACTGGCTGCGGCGGGGCTGGTTGGGTGGGGTTGGGGAT